TACAAACGTGGTTAGAAAATGAATGGGAATGACATTCGAACGTTAAGTCACGTCACTGTCACGTGGCTTACCGTTGAATTCATTCACTGTTATAGTTTCTTAAAGCGATAATGACCATACAATGTTATCTTGACTAACCTTGTAGGAATGAACATTTCGCCGCGGGAGACGGCGAAAGAGAATCGCATCACCCGTCTACTCCGTGCGTGTTATATGAATCGATTATAATAATTGCCAGATCGGTCTCCGATTTTGTTAAATTATTACGTCGCCGTTATGAATATTTTGCAATAAAACATTGTAAAATATTCAAACCGGCGCGGCGACAGAACCAGTAAATAATATAATAATACAACAAAGTACACACAACATCAAGAACATATTTTCACGCTATACCCGTGTATTTTGGTATTTTGAAATTTTCGAATAAGAATACAATCAATGTTCTTAAGATTACTTGAAGAAAATCTTGACAGGCAAGGTGAATATTAAGATTAGCTGAAAGAAAAAAACGCTCAGCACTCTGTTGTAACATAAATATTCCGTAGTTAGCGTATTATATTAAGCATGTTGCTAAATAATAACGTTACATAATATATGTATTTTTGATACATATCGTACTAAGAGAAATTAACAAAGAAAGTAATTAACAAAAATTAAATATATGTTATGTCGTAGTGATTACAAAACCCAATAAGAAAAAATCCCTAGTCATTTCGCAGGTTTAACAATGCGAGTAATAATATAATAGAAACAAAACAGAGCTAACTGTCAAATATTTCGCGGGGCGAATTCTTCTAAAGTAGCGAGAAAAAGCGACGAGCGATGGACAATTCGCATGACGTCATGGCCAGGTCCCACAGTTACTCGGAAAAGGAGAACCTGCATCTAGATGGGCAGACGACATCACTCGTGTCGCAGACAAACAACGGCAGAAGCCAAATACCGAGACCGCTGGCGTTCTTGTAGGAGGCCCTCACCCTCACTACTTGAGGGGCTCATGCATGGTGTTTTTTATCTTAAATCTTTATTCTATTTTAAATCTATAATTTTCTTTTCTTATTTTCATTTTGATTTTATTTATATATTTTTTAATTATATTAAAAACAAAAATTATATGTACTAAATATTAAATTCAGTTAGAATTTAATATTTAATTTAATATATAATAAAACCAGATATAACAATAAATATGTATAAAAAAGGCAAAAAATACAACTATTAACTATTGAGATAATAACAAAATCAATGTAACAGTCCTTTTTTAACTTATTATATTGTTATTATCAAAATATATTATTACAAGCAAATGTTATATGCAATGTATGGAATGAAAATACTTTTTTATTTTATTGTATAGGATAAGGTTATACGTTCTAGAGCGAGCTGTTTATCGGCCGATAGCAATGATTACGACAAGATGTATGCAAGAAGACGGTATAGGAGTCTAAGACGAAGCTCAATTATTAATGTTTCATGTTTTATTCCATAGCCATTTTTTATTCCACTATTGGGTGTAGAGTTTAACTTGTGGTAGATCCGCGCTGCAGTTGTATTATACCTACTAAACGACTAGTTCGGAACTGAGGAAGAACCACGTTCTCACAGAATACCAACATATTGCTACTATGCTTCGTATGGTGAGTGTAGGAAACTGAAGACCCATTTCCCTGACCACGAAGCATTCCATATTAGTCCACAGAGGTGACAACGCACCTGCATATTAATTCTCAATCGATTATAGATGTTAATAAACAACACTTCGTTTGTAAATTTACAACTTCAATTAAATAGTTTGCCAATCACAAGTGGAAAGTATATAAGTATTACAACGCCCTTTACTTGTAAATACGTCAAAGAAATGGACAGCAGGCGGTTTTACAAGCGGTTAAGATATCCGGGCGGCACTTAGTCCAAACAATACAAATGTATCTCCTATGTTCTCCCTGGATAATGATATTATAGCAATTTTTAACGTTACAATCAACATCCACCACTGCTATATCCTATGTTCTGTTTCTTATATAAATTAAATATTATTTATATATATTCACAAAATACCAGCGTGAAATAGTAGCTTAATGCTGCTGTGTTTCGTATGGTGAGTGTAGAGAACCGGAGACCCTTTTTTACTGGAAACAAGGCATTCCTTCTTAGTCCTCACGGGTGACAACGCATCTGCATTTTGATTCCTAATCGAGGTTATATGTAGATGTCTATGGGCCGCAGCAACTACTTACCATCAGGTGGACTGTGTGCTCGTTTGTCACCCTATCTTAAAAAAAATAGCAATATTTGAGGCAAGACGATCAAAACTGAATGATAAATAAAAGTGCTGGAAGACCCGAAATTCCTTCTACTAATATTCTTATTGATCGAATTGAAACTAATAAACATCACATTGGCGGGTTTAGCCATTTTTTTAAAGAATAAGAGTGACAAACAAGAACACAATCTGCCGCGACTAAACTAGTTGGGGTAGATACTGGAAACGCGGTTACGCAGCATTCCATCTTAGTCGTCACAGGTAATATATCACATAACACATCTGCATTTTTATCAAACTTACTAGACTAAAATAATTTACTAGTTGTGGTAGATTGTGTGCTCATGACAGAATTAGTAAATTTTTGTTTATTTATTGACGTGGCGTGACCGTGAGCGATAATGAAAGGTCATCGTGTCGTTTGGCGGCAGATTATCACCCCAGTGCTGCGTGTGTGTTTATGAACGGAAAGAGTGTTGTGTGTTGCTGTGTTGTGCCAGGTTGGTCAGGAACTTATAAGTCCTATGTTTACGTTGTGAAACTAAAAACAAAAATAAAGGTAAAAATAATAATGTCCTCTTGAACGAACTTCGGGCACGTTCGGTTGGCGCTTTACATGCTCTCCGAGACAAGGGTTGTGAAAAAGCTATCAATTTCCTGAACCCGGTATGCTACGGACTGCTTCTTGTCAGTCAATGGAGGAGAATAAAGAAAGGCTCTATTGGTATATCCGCTTAAATGGTTGTATGCAAACGAGCGCGCGCGCGCGCGCGCGTGCGTGCGTGCGTGCGTGCGTGCTGTGTTGCGTGTGTGTGTGTGTGGGTGCGTGTGTGTGTGTAGGAGAGAGGGCAAACGGTTCTCCTGATGTTAGGTAACTACCGCCGTCCACGAACAACTGCAACACCAGGGGAATTGCAGGTGCGTTGTCGGCCTTTTAGAAAGGAGTAAGCCTTTTCTTGAATGTCCCCAGGTCGTATCGGTACGGCAAAATCGCCGGTGGTAACCTATTCCACAGAGAGGTCGTACGCGGAAGAAAACTCCTAGTGAAACGTACAGTAGTGGATCGCCAAGCATCCAGATGGTGTGGATGGTATAGGAAGATCTGCCGCGTAGTGCGTTCATCAAATTTGGCGGCTGGGACTAATCCGAACAATTCCAGAGCACTCCCCGTGGTAAATGCGAAAGAAAATGCAAAGAGATGTAACATCTCTTCGCAGCGCTAGTGAATCGAGCCGATCGGAAAGCACTCGGTCGTCAACTATTCAAGCCGCTCTGCGCTGGATGCGTTCAAGTGGACGGAGCTGGTTCGAGATGTGAACAGTATTCCATGTGAGTGCGAACCTGCGCCTGTTAAAGTTGCAGGCGGTGTGCCAGCATGAAATACTGTCCCGCTCTGCTGAGCACGCCAAGCTTCTTAGAGGCCAATTCGGCCTTCCCCTCTAAGTGACCACGAAACTGCACACTATTCGATATGTCGACGCCGAGGACTCCGATGCTAGCTGAGGCAGCAATGGAATTGCTTTGAAACTGTGTAGATACGACAAAAGGGGTTCTTTTTAGCGGAAACACGCAAACTTGTCTTCTGGGGATGACACACTAAGCTTTTTAGAGGCCAATTTGGCCTTCTCTTCCAAGTGACCACGAATCTGCTCGTCACTCGATATGTCGACGCCGAGTATTCCGATACTAGCTGAGGCAACAAGGGGAATGTCTTGAAATTGAGGAGATACGACAAAGGGGTTCTTTTTAGCGGTTAACGCGCTAAAACTTGTGTCTTCTCAGGGTTAAACTGGACTAGATTTAGTCACCCCAATCCGAGACTTTGTTCGGCAAAGACTCGACTTCAAACATAAGTTTTTCCCGGTACCCGGAGACGTTTTCCCGAGAAATATTAGCACGGCCGGTATACAGAGCATCACCAGTGCTGTAATCCGCATAGCAATGAATGTTACCGGTTTACAACATATCATGAGGATATGCAGAAGAAACAGCGTTGGTGATAGCACGCAGCCTTGTGGAATTGCAGCAATAATAAGCTTGTAATCATAGGTTGCACCGTCTACAACGATCTTGATGCTCCGATCGGCAAGAAAGCTGGTGATCCAATTGCACAATTTCTCGGGAAGCCCATCATAGGAAGGGAGCTTCGAAAGAAGCGCTTTGTACCAAACCCGATCGAAGGCTTTCGCAATGTTCAAACTAACGGCCAATGCCTCCCCCTTGGACTCTACTGCCTTCGCCCATCGATGAGTCAGGTAAACCAGATCACCAGCTGATCAAACCCCGACGAAAACCGTATTGGCGGTCACTAATCAGCTGGTGATCCTCAAGGTACCATACCATACATGAGCTGACAGTTTGTAAGGGATTCCATTATTTTGGAGAACATGGAGGTGATGACGATAGACATGTAGTTTGACGGATCTGAGCAATCACCTTTTTTAGGGTTCGGGTGGACGAAAGCCCTCTTCCATGATTATGGGAATACGCCTAGGGAGTATCGTATGGTGAGTGTAGAGAACCGGAGACCCTTTTACTGGAAACGAGGCGTTCCATCTTTGTCCTCAGGGGTGACAACACATCTGCATCTTAATTCTTAATCAAAGATTGACGTAGGTGTCTATGGGTCACAACATCCAGTTACCATCAGGTGGACTATGACTATATTGTTGTTTGTCATCCTTATTCTATTAAAAAAACGTGAAATCGCTTTGAATCTTGTAACTAAATTTACCTGTATCGCATTCAGCAGCTTAGCGCAGTCCGATGTGCCGTAACACTGCCTCGTGCCTGTCTCGACGACTATCACCTGACTTGCCTTTGTTGAAGGTTTCTGGGCTAATGTCTGGATCTGGTTGATCTTATCCCATTGGAAACGGCTCACCATAAGCACCGGCTGCTCGACTGGCGGTAGAACGTTCTCTGTAAAATACTTCACATGTCTTATAAGAATTTTGATGTTTTCCAGGCTGGTATTGACCGTATTGTGCTTGCATGTTAATATTTATTTTTATTTATTTATTTAAGTACACCAACGATTGTTGCAACAATGCAGAAACAGTAATCAACTTAGAAATGTTAAATTAGAATGTGGAATAAGAGGTCCAGTGAAAAGCCGGCTTCAAAAATATTTAGAAAATAGAAATATGTTGTTCGTGTAAACGGAGTGGATAGTAGGATAGGAAAAGTAAAATTTAGTGTACCGGCTGGCTCTGTGTTTGGCCCGATCGGATATATAATGCACGTCAACAGCATGATAAATGTTATCAAGAATTGTAGAATATACATGTATGCTGACGATACCTGCCTCGTGTATAGTGGAAAAAATAGTAGCCAAATACAGTTAAAAGTGCAGCAGGATTTAAACAATTTAATAAAGTGGTCCCACGACATTGGTATTATCATGAACTTGAATAAAACCAAATGTATGGTAATATCATCACCCTATAACCGTTCTAGAAAAACCGTAGATATAGCTCTTATCACTTAGTAGGGTCACACTTACGATTGCCTGCATACTGACCACTCGAGCTCTCTCTGCCGCTTCGAAAAGCTACAATGTGTAACAAACTATAAATATTTCGAGTTGGTTATAGATAACCGCTTCTCTTGGGACCTGCATGTTGAATTAGTGTGTAACAGGCTTATATCAGTATTAGGTAAACTGAATCATATAAAATATGTTGTGAACCGAGGAATCATGTATATGCTGTATTATGCCCTAGCAGACGCAACGATCGGATATGGCTTTGGTGCATATGGACTTACATTCTCAACATATCTTAACAAAATAAGGACTATGCAGATAAGATTCTTAAAGGTTTTAGTAAGTAGTAGTAGTTTAGTAAGTAGTCTTAAATTAGTTGATCCTAAGACGAAAATATTCTAGATAAAAATTGTGAAAAGTTACTTAAAATTTGCAAAATAATTCCCATAGACATGAAAGTAAAATCCGTCATCATATTAGAACAGCATGGTATGGTAACATTTAAGAAACCTACGACATATATAATGTCGAAGCGCCAAATTACTCAAATGAGGAAATATCTTATACCTAGGGCTGAAAATTACTTTGGACAGCGTACGAGGCAATGGATAACTCCAACTTTGTGTAATGAGGTAGCGGATATATATGACGAATAATATTTAGCGTAACTAAGTCGCAGCTCAAATCCATCTTGAGGAAACATTATCTGTCGTTGTGTCCATAGTGGTGAATGCTTCTTTAACTATATATAATATAGATATTTAAATATAAATATGTTAGGTAATAATGAAATGCCATCCTACTAAATAAATTACAATAAAAAATACTAATAAAATTCAAAATGTTTCAAATAATTTAATAAAAATTCGACTGTGCTAATTATACTAACTATAATAATACCCTAAGAGTCATAATCAATTCAATAATAAATAATAACAATTATAATAACCGTATTTCAAATTTAATATGTGTATGTTTAAATAATATAATACATGTGAATATTAAATAATTATTTAACAATAATAATACTAAAACAACTAACAATAAATAAATGTTCCTCTTTCATAATATTTCTGTGCCCATCAGGGTCTATAGAAATACCATAAAATATGTAACACCTTTTGTAAACTGTGGAATGCAATAAAGTTATTGAGTATAGAGTACTAAAAAGTTACATAGTAGTTACATAAAAAATCTTCTATCAAAGTAATATTATGTGTTTATACACACAATGACTTACACCTAGTTACTTAAATAATGTATCGTTTACTGTGGCATTAAACTTAGCTAGAGACATAAAACATGAACATCTATTGACCCACCGCACTTATTATAAATTGGGAAATCCTGGAGACCAGTGAATTGGCTCCCAGAACTGTTTTGCGAAACGGACGAGAGAGAGAGGTTCAATGGGCTTACGAGGAATTCGTTACGGAACTTTAACATTGAATTTCATTAGGAATGTAGAACAATGCAACCGATATCTTATTATAATTAAAAATAAGGATAGGTGAAGTAGATCCCTACGGTTGTCCAATCCAAGAGAATCAATCACATTGATTCCCCTTTTCTAATTACCAACTAAGGATTTGTCAACAGGAACAAGGTATGCTACGATAAGGCTGGCACATCAAAGATTGATAATAACAAAATTTAAATTAAATTAAACATATATATCTCACCTGATCTGTTTTGGATAACCAACAAATATATGCCTATTACAATTCCCGCGAAGAGAACTAGAAAGAGTAGGGTGACGACCACAGTGGCCTGGTATCTTTGTTCCTTCTTGGAAAACGCTGTATGAGTGGCGTCGCCTCGGAAGTTCTGGGTTCATCTTCGCCGCGGTATGAGTTGGTACGTGACTCGTGATCTGGAAAAGTCAATTATTGTGTTACATAGAATATGAAGTTAATATTTTACGCTGGCCGTATTTAATTAAAATAATTTTTAACGTTAATTAAAACCGTACAACTGAGCCATATTATTATCATTCAGGTTCTATGAATCCCATTTAAATATTCATATATGGTAAATATTTATGCATAGAAAACTTTTTAAATTTGATCAAATGAGGGTCATGAAATATATTTACCACCTTACGTATCCCTAAAATTTAAAAGTAATTTAACCGATCAAATATATATTATAAAAAAGATAAGGCATAAAACATTCACCGCCATGTGTTAACTGGAAATTATTTCATTAAAAATAAAAGGCAAAACGTTAGTTACAATAAATAGATTGCAGTTGAATCTCGCCCATATCAACAGTACACTAAGGCAATATCAGTTTCTAACATCGAGTGCTGCACCGTGACAACATTGACCAGTCTGGTGCGTTCGTATCAATCGCGTAATACACTGATCTAAAGTTTTTATTATGCGATCATGTTCCAATTTTAATAGGCGTATTTAATGTCACCACACACCATTATATCCCGCATACTGTAACTTATCTGCTTGATATGCCAATTTTAATTCATGATTTAGGTACCCAATTTGTTACCTACCATAGCTTATGATAAATTATTGGTTTTAGTTTATCAATCTACAATGTAAGTGAAATAATTCCTCTAGTAGACTAAGACTAGTTAAGTGTGAGTCGGGCTGACTCTATTAGGGTTCCGTACTTGTCCTAGATACATAATATATGTACTAGATACATATACCTAGCACATGCACCGGGTAATAGCGGTTTAAACATATTCACTACTCAACATCATCTCGCGACTGGTGGTGGACGCACGAATATCATCTTTGGTATGCCTCGTTTTCAGTAAAAAGGTTCAAGGTACACCCTTTTTATGAAACACAGCAGCATAAAGCTGCAATTTTAGGCTGGAAGGAATTGTCCGCTGCGCTGCCCCAATGCGTTTTCGCGAACTTCACATGTCTTCCAAATATTTTTTTCTTATATTTCAGACATTCAGGTTTCCTCACGATGTTTGTCTTCACCGCCAAGTACGTGGTAAACTAGCACTTAAAATTGCAATTTACAATTTCAATGGTGCTGGCGGGAATCGAACGCGGTTTTTGCTCGCGTACTGTAAATTTACAGCGAGCGCTAACCATCTAAACTATCACGACTCTGATATATAATAAACATATATTATATGTAATAATCAAAATATCTTTGAAAAACAATGTGGAGAAAATTTACCGGAAAAATAAATGTGATCAAACTGACCTAATAGCAAGAAAACATTAATTTTATAATTATGCTGAAAAAAATATTAGCATAGACAGTAAACAGTGTTTTTTAAAGTATTAATTAAAAAGAATTTAGTACAATACATTACATAAAATATTCCGAATTTTGGTTATAAGAAGTATATGATTTCCGAGCTAGATACCGCAATAACCCGTGAAAGAAAAATCAAAAAAAATCGTTTGTTTTGGCCACAGTTTACGAACTGTCAATCGATGTTTTTGCAGTATTAGTTGTTTAAAAATAGTACATGGTGCGCTTTTTATGTTCGTGATGGTACATAATATTTAGAAATTTTGAAAACCTACGTAGCTTGGTTTTTGAGAGAGGCCTCGCAACAGTAACGGTTTTAAACTGGGCACTTTCACGGGCTATATTTTAATTTTATTTTTATTTATATTGGTAGAGACAATAACTCTGCACATGCTAGTGAAATTTATTACGTAATATTTATTTTATATACGTATATTTTAATAAAAGTATATAATATTTATATGAGAATTAAAAATCTTACCTCTTTTGTATGTATTAGTCATTCATAAAACACAGTGTGCATGCAATATGAATAGATCTGTTAAACTGACTATTTAGTTTCGGATTCCACACTAACGTCTAGTGTTGTGATATCGAATGTTGCAAGAAATCAAACCAAAATATTTAAAGCAAATATTATGTAACTTAGTAACGTATCCCTCAAACCAACAACATAGATAAATATATGTGTTTCTATTATAATATTTACTATTTAAATTTTAAACCAAAACACACTGGAGCAGCGCGTAGGACATTTCCTTGACATAAAAAAAACCTTCTCATCAACGAGAGAAGGCCTGAGCTCTGGAGTAGAACGTACCTGTATAGACTGTAACTTTACCTTTTATATATTACAAATAATAAATATTATTTGTTTTATAGTGTAACTGTGATTTTTTTAAATATTTTTGTTTACTTTAAATTCTATACAAATAAATAAAATAAAAGCGACAGTAGCCTAATGAAAGGGCGCGGACCGCGAACTCAAAAAGGTCGTGGGTTCGTAATTCGTGCTCGTAAGGCGTTCGTATTCGTAAGGCGTAAGCTTACCACGAGTGGTTAAGAGGAATATTAGTAATGTTTATAGCATTGTTAATATTCTTTTCTTTTTAAAAATAAATAAATAAATAAAATTGAAGTGTCTGTTTGACATGTCAAAATAACAGTCTTTTACTAAATGCATATGAAATAATGCAGGTACTTATACAACTACAACTATAAAAAAAAATTTTGTCTGTCTGTATGTTCTAACTAATCTCCAAAAAAAAAAAAGAATTGGGATTTCGCGCAAAACAATTAAAACCCATGAAATCCAATCGTAATACAAACTTCGCGGACGAAGTCGCAGGGAGTAGCTCCTGTGAAATATTATTATTTTTATACGTGGTAGAGCCGTGCTGCAGTTATAGTAGAAGTATAGTTGCAGCACGAATGGGTCGGCTCGACCGGGGAAGGACCACGCTCTCACAGAATACCAGCGTAAAATAGTAGCTTGATGCTGCTGTATTTCTTATGGTGAGTAGAGAACCGGAGACCCTTTTTACTGGAAACGAGGCATTCCATCTTAGTACTCACGGGTGACAACGCATCTGCATTTTGATTCGTAATTGAAGATGACATGTACAGTGGCGGCTCATATTATTAGAGCCATCTACTTAAATAATCGATTTGGCATTTTAATCAATATATATTGCATTCAAACTATGTCTGCTAAGTTTATATTTTGTTATTATGAATTTATGGATCTGTGTAGATTATGAATTTTTAACTGGCAACACTAAAGAGTGGATAATCTGTCACATGGTCGCCATTTTGTTGTAACACAGTCAGTCGACGCTTAACAGTTTCGTTGTCCGGGTGAGTATTTTGGAGATTATTTATGCATTTTTATCAATTTTTTTGTAGTGTTGGTGTGTTTTAACAATGTTTGTCCATATGCAGCTTGCTTAAATATGTTTGTTGCTAAAAGAAATCATTTTCACATAAATTTTGTTATTTTATTTGCAGGATATATTTTAATCATGGGAAAAGTTAAAGATCTGTCTCCAAGGAAAATTTCCGAAATTAAAACTTTATTATTGCATACTGGGCATTCCCAAAGAAAGATTGCATCGATTGCTAATGTTTCGAGGGCATCAGTTGACCGAATAAAAAAAAAACTTGACACAAATGTGGACCTGACGCCGAAACGTGCGAAAAATTGTGGACGAAAGAAAATTACCACGCCACGTGATGAAAGAAAAATCAGGGATGTCTGTGTTGAAAACAGGAAGGCACCTCGGAAGATTCTTACGAAGAAGGTACAGGACGCTGGAATCAACATTTCCCTAGCAACAGTTCGTCGACGCATGAAAGACTTGGGGTTCATTTGTCGTCGACCGGCTAAAAAACCTCTTCTTACACAGGCTATGATGTCAAAGCGTTTACAATGGGCAAAAGAACACCAGAACTGGACTGCTGAAGACTGGAATAAGGTAGGTGAATAATTCTTGAAGCTGCTGGAAGTAAAAAGCTAGATCCACATTAATTTAAATTAAATTAAAATTTTGATTTCTGTACACTAAAATAATAATAAATATTTCAGGTTTGTTTTTCTGATGAATCGTCAGTGCAAATTTTGTCGGACAAAGCTGTATTTGTAAGAAGAAGGAAGGGTGAGAAATTCAAAGAAGATTGCATAATCAAGCGAGTGAAGCACCCATTCAGCATCATGGTATGGTTCATAATAAGCAGCAAAGGCACTGGTCGTCTATACATTGTGGAGGGAACGATGCGGCAGGATCAATATATCCAGGTCCTTGAGACAAAAATGCTGCCCCAGGTCCAGGAGTGGTTTCCGAACGGCGAATTTACGTTCATGCATGACTCTGCTCCTTGCCACAAAGCAAAAAAGGTCACGAAATTTTTAAATGCCCAGAAAGTAAAAGTTCTTGACTGGCCTGGGAATTCGCCGGACCTCAATCCCATAGAGAACCTCTGGGAGTTGATGAAACGAGAAATTTCCAGAGAACTCATCACTAATAAACGCCAACTGATGAGCGTTTGATAGATGTTTGGCACCGGAGTGAATCAATTAAGATAAACTGCTCAAAATGTATGGAAAGTATGCCCAGGAGAATTCAGGCGATAACAAAAAAAAATCCAGGAGCAATATACTTAATAAAAATATTAACAAAAAACACACGTTATTTCTACCTAAACTAAAATTAATCTACTTTTTTACTGTGGCTCTAATAATATGAGCCCCGACTGTAGGTGTTTGTGGGTCACAGCAACCACTTACTATCAGGTGGACCGTGTGCTCGTTTGCCACCCAATCCTATAAAAAAAACCTTAAAATTGTGGTCATGAAATGTGTGCCTTTCCCTGCTATTAGAAATCGTTGATATTAATTATTTCCATATCGTCACTTGAATGTCGCAAGAGGCGACCGAGGGAAATAAATCACGAGATGGCTATAGCGTCTTACGGATAACAAATAGAAGAAAACAACTGCAATTGCTAACCCGGCCACCGGCCACCAAGCGTGGCAATTGTAGCAAATATCCCCATCATAAGATATTCTATACGGAAGTCTGTGTTGTGCAGAGAACTTTAACAGGTTTCAATAAATTAATATTAAGCTTAAAC